AAAATGCAACTAAGCGTTTTGCCTTTCTTTCGTAATACTTCGCGTAACCACCCAAATTTTCTCGCGGACCATCGGTTGCCCACCGCTGCCGTAGGCAATATCGACTTCGCTTGGAAAGAATTAACCGATAAATGCACCAACGAAGGGTGGAAGAAGTTATGGCCGAAGGTATTCGAGAATTCTCAACGAGAAGACACTATCGCTGTATCGTTATACTACGTTCGCACACAATGCACGACTCACTTCGATCTCGATTTACCTACAAACTGGATTGTGACTGTCGCTAGTGGAACGTCGCGCTGTTCGCGCAGGCAGTCCGCTCGAGAAGAACCTGACTATTACACGCGATCATAAAACTGACGTAACTACGCGGTAAGTCGCAAACACCAACAAACAAAATGGAAGTTTCGGTTAGAAATAAATACTTTTTCTTGCCGTACATCTAATAATAGACAGATGTCGTCGTCTCTCCACATGTCTTTTTTATTTCTCTGTCGATAGCCCGACACGTGTTTCACAGCCATCTCGTAATTTCTCGCGCGCGTGGGATTGTGGGATCTCTCTTATGAGTGGATCTAGTTTCGAGAACTCTCTCCAGTCGATGGCGATTGAACCTCGTTTCAGTCGAGATTGAAACGGTCGAGAGCGTTCGCACCGCGGAACAGGCTCCGACCTTAGTCACAATCTAGATCGAAATGCTCGGTGAGAACGGGGTATTATCGACGACCACCTTCAAGAACTGGCAGAAGAAGGAATTAATGTAGAACTGGAAAATAGAGATTCTAAAAACGAAAAACCCAAAAAAATTTCTTTACAGATTTCCTTAGTAAATGTTTGGTAACGATAACCGAAATCGTCGATCAAACTACCAGATTTTGAAAGGAGTGCAAAACAAAACCGGGCGTTTTGGATGACATCTTCCGCTACCAACATTTGCTTAAGGAAAGAACAAAGCGACAAATGAAACTTTGCGACTTTACTGCAAAAAAAAAAAAAATAATAATAATAATAAATAATTTCAGAAAAGTCAGGATCTTCGTCACTAAAATTAACTGTTAAATTAATATAGAAAAAATTAAAATTAAAATTAAATGATAACAGAATGCTGTTAAAACACTTAGCTATTCTTGGCGGCACTCAATTATTGGTGTTCGCTACACTCGGGTTTTCTTTTAGACCAGTGTTTCTCAACGGGGGCGATATCGTTCCATGTGGGCGTTTTTCCATGTTGAGGGGGCGATTAGTAACAATTTATATTTTGGAGGGAGCGAAAAACAATTTTCTGGGCGATATAGTAAAACATTATATTAAGAATAATTAGATATTTTATTCGTAATAACCTACAATAATTAAGCAAACATTATACAAGTCACTAGTCTATTCGATGCAGTACGAATTTGGCGTTAGCCTCGGCCCTCGGCATTGGAATTTTGAAGCGAAGGGGGCGATACTACGTAACGGTTTTATTGAAGAGGGCGACGATTCATTAGAGGTTGAGAAACACTGTTTTAGACCCTTCGGAGGACTACGGCCTCGCAGCCTAAAACCTGCGCGCCAACATCAAACGTAGTGGGTACTGTAGCCTTATGTACGCCGTTCAGAGGGATCCTACCAGTACAGAAACTACTGTCTATCTCCTCTCCCTCCTTCTTTTCCTCCCCTTTCCCTTACCCTCTTTTTCTGCCGGCTAAACACTTCGTGCACGGCCGATGTCTTTCTTGTATGTGTGTATTGAACAACAGATGTAATATCTTCTTGTGGTAATATATTTACGTGTTTTCGTTTTTAAACGAAAAGCAGTGGGACAACCATTTTGTTTTACGTGTACAAACGTGCGCGATATCGATGTAACTCTCATTAATAGTTTTGTTTGCGGTCTCGAGGTTGCTCCTCTCTAAGCGGGTCTAGAATTACAAGTAAGCTGTCTAAGCTAATAGCTTGGAGCCTCGAATTTCGAGGGGTCTGAAAACTTTCTACAAAAAAGAAATTGGAAGTCAAATTTTGTAATACAAATTTTTTACAGACCAATAAAATTTATTTTACTATAAAAAGTAATTTGTGAAGTAATAAAAGTAATTTGAAGAACGGTCATTTGTGTGGTATTTAAATATATTAATAACCAGTATTGTTTATATTATATTTTTAGTGATTTTTTTTCCTTTTAATATAAAACTCATCTTGATTTTTATAGGTAGGTTTTCTTAACCTTTTAGTAGGTTTTTCTTCGTTAAAGAAAGCACTAAAACGAAATTTTTAGTGTTTCCCTCTTTAAATTGTGCCTTATTTTATAATACGTTGCAAATATCTTTTAACAACGAAACTTTTTTAAATTAAGGGTAACTGGCCCCTATTCAGGCGTTACAGACGTGGAAAAAACCCGGAGCCCGCGTCCTAAGCGAGGCGCGAACTCACAGCGTTCGGGAACGGAACCGCTTNCGCAAACACCAGGATCTGTAGTCAAATGGAATGAGGCAGCCATTATAGAACCTTTATCTTCCCCATCTTTGGCGTTGACAGCTGAAAAGTTGCAGATTTATAGGAGTAAAATACAGGAAGGCTGTTTAAATGCGAGGGATGCAGAAAGTCTTCCCTCTGCATGGAAGTTTATAGTTAAGAAGTTTAATAAGAGCTCTAACCAATCAAAATAGTAGTTTTATTGCATGTGTTAGTAATTGCATTTATTAATACTTCTATATACATTTTTTACATTTTTATATTTTTTATTTTTGTTTTATGTTACTCTGTTGGTTATTTAATACTTTAATTTATTTCAATTTTATCTTATTTAATTTTGAATTTTGTATTCCATTGATGGAATCTTTTAATTCAAATGTGTTCTAAACCTGAGGATGGCCTGTGAATCAGGCTGAAAACGTTTGTTTGTTTCAAATAAATTATATTTCTCGGCAAGAATAAGGTGTTAGTTATATGTATAAAAAATAAATACATAAAAATTAAAAAATTTAAATTTAAATGATAACTACTCGTATTAAGTTTAATCGAGCATTAAAATAATTTTGCATTCTAGTAAAATATCATTATCTTTCGTCCAGGAACTTTGGCAAAAGAGTACGTTTAAATCATTTAACATTAAATATCTCGCGGAACAGTGAGATTATAGCCGACTGAACAGACGCCACGTTGTTTCGTCATAGCTGTTGTAAAATTACTACTCGCGTGCGTGCAGCTTCCCCATCAGCACCGCTGAATTTAGCAACGAGCGCTTTGATTCTTCGTACACGCATCCGCCTAGTGGCGATTTTCAGCAACATCGCGTTTGCGCCCTGCGAATCCTAAAATGGTTAAAGCCATGAGTCGCTGTCGAATTTCTTACTGCGGAGAGTTTGGCTCCGATCCACGTCCATCGATGTTCGCGTGCCATATGCGCGAATGCGTGCATCGACGTCGATACAGTTAGGAGATAGGTAAGGGCTGCGAAAGAAGAGAATCCTGTTGTAACGAACTTGAAAGATCAACGCAGTGGAAGACCAGTATCTGCGTATGGCCGGGCGGGTCACTCTCGTTGATGAATTGATTCGTGAGAATCGATGATGCGAGCGGACGGATTTCTGCAGATTTTCGGCATTTCGCAGGAAAAAATACATCGCTTTATCCGGAATATTCTGTAATATAGGAAGGTCTGCACTCGTTGAGTGCCCCGACAGTTTACTAATAAAATGAAAGACTAGAGAAAGAAAATTTGTCAACAGTTCTTGGCTCTTTGACACACAGAAAATAATGTTTTTCTCTATATAATTGTGTCAGGCGATATTCGTGTAAAAGTTGAACGGATCCTGGCCTCATCGGGATTCGTTCGACTTTTACAAAGACGAATTTGCGTAACTCGTCGCGCGTTGGCATAAGTGTGTCGTTGTAACTGGGAACTATGTGGAAAAGTGATTATATCCGTTCACACTTATATTTCTGAAATAGGTCTATTAATTAATATAAAGTTATGATCGAGGAGGCATAACTTTTTAATATACCCTCGTAGGTTTAAAAACAATAAGGAGTGTATTTGATAAGGATTCGACGGACGAAGAGTATTATGTAGGATTGAGAAGGAATTTAGGAGAGAGATTAAGTGAATATAAGAGAGATGTAGTTAGAGGTAACTCGAGCACGAGTGCGGTGCGAGAAATTTATGGTAAGAATGCGAAAGTATCATAGATTGAAACGAAGTTAATTTACAAAGAGAATGTGTAAGAATGTTACAACTGTGGGTATTTATTATATTACTCTTAGGTCTGGGAAGAAATGTTATAAATAGGAATAACGCTAGTGGGATGTCGGAAGTTTGGAAGTGAGAAATCGATAACTTAGAAGAAAGACAGCGATAATAAAAGTTAAGGATTAAAAGGAAAATATAAAGATGATGATAAGGGGAGAACGGTGGCAATTGAAAAAAATATGGCTCGGTTGAGAGTACTGTACGTTGGTTAAAATTGAAAGAACGGTGCGATTTAAAATGGAGAAGAATGATACCGTTGAAACATCGGAAATCGTTTAAAAGGACGAACGAAAACAAATTTAATGCATTTTTCTTAATAAGTTAAAACGAGAAAACAAGCGATTAGTCAACTTAAGATTGCAATAGTCTTTCGATGGTTGTTGTCCGGTACAACGATAGCTAAACTGCCAGAACGTTCCTACGTAGTTATTAAAGATCGGAGTACATAGTGCAAAATTTTACGTGGAGTTTATTTATTTGCATTTCTGCCAAGGCGGACAAATGTTAGCTTTCCACCAATCGCTGCCGCTCAACGAGACGAACATTGCGATTCGCAAGTTGTCGCCGTGGGATACGAACCGTTCCCACACGTAGTAGAAAATAGTGCCATTCTCGCCAAATCGATCCCCATCGACAGGAATTTCATTTCTTTTTTTTCATTTTTAGATTTTCAATGGCAAAGGCCAGGAAAATTATTTTAAATTATTCGGTTCCAAATGACTTAAAGTTAATTTATTTTAGAGCTATGACAAATAGAGAAAAATGAATAACCTGATCATGCAATGAGCCGCAGTCAACACGTAGGACGGAGAAATCAGGAACCCGCTACAATTCAGTTCATCGGTCAATCTGATGAATACCTATTATTAGTGTAATAAAAATATCATTTAAGAATTTTTAAAATATATTTGTGGCTTAAAAGAAAATCAAAGTTAAATACCATCCAAGGAAATTCTCCCGGATTGGCGAATCTTCCTCCGAATATTCTTTTCTCGTCTTGTACTTTTAAAAAACGTTCTCGTTATTTCTCGAATGCGTGGTTTGTATTGTACAGTACGTCTTCGTACAAAATTACTTACCTGCCGAGAGATCGACGCATATCTGAAAAGAAATATACATTATATATAATAAACATCTTAACGCCCGACGATTATAAATAGATACAGTTGTTTAATAGATACAACAACGATGGCCCGAATAATCGGGCTAGAATTCTAGCCGGATTATTCGGGCCGTCGTTGTTGTATCTATACATAGTTTATTTAGCTTTGGTGTCGCTTACGAATTTAAGCTAACGGAATGGCCGAGCGGTTAAGACGTCGGCCTATGGCTCCGACGACCCCCGATCGAATCCGGGCAACGTGTCCTTTGCCACCCGGTGGTCGTCACGGTAGGCTCGGCCGAACCCGCGATGGACGGGGCAAGAAAACGTCCTTTTAGTGTCCACGGGCCAGAAAGAATAACACAAAAAACGGTTATTTTAAAATTCAGTGTCAAAGAAACGCGTTTCTGTATATTAATTTCTAAAGTTATTCTTTTACTAGCGGATGAGCCCGGCGTTGCTCGGGCAAAAAATAACAACGAACATTAAGATTACAGTATTAGTTATGTTCCAGAACATTCCACAACATTCGAGAATGCTCCACAATGATCTGGGATGTTCCCGAACGTTCCAGAACATTCTGGAATGCTGTCGAATACTCTCGAATGTTCTAGAAATTTCTAGAGGGCGAAACTTCCAGCCCTTATATCTTCAACAGCACGCCCTTCGGGTAAAAACGGGAACCTTCTTCGTGGATGGGGGATAGAGGTCTACCATACCATAAAACTCCCTTGATCGTACCGGGACTCGTTTTGAGTTTTAGCGGCACGCACATTGTACGCTTACCTTTATTATATATATTGATATTAATTGATGATTATAAAAAGTACAAGCGACACGTTCGATCCTCGCAAATTATTCGTTACTCGTGACCAATAAATTGAAAGTTTTACCCGACCCCATTATTTATAACAAAACATTTTATAATAGTAAACATTATTAGAAAGTCGAGTTGGAATTACCAGAAGAGAGAAGAAAGTTAGGACGAATGCCGAAGACATGGCGCCAGGAAATACTAGAAGCAATCTCCGTCTACGGAACGCTTTTATCCGCTTTTGGTTCGGGCATTAAATCGTAACGAGCGCACTTACCTCCGGTTTTATAAACGATACGCAGCTGCGTCCGTCTTCTCGGCATTTCTATGGGGGTATTTAACGGAGTAATAAAAACGTTTTGTCGTAAATACGATATGAAATTAAGAAAAACATTTTTGCCAAAAGCTTTTTACGACTGGCATTAAAATATATTCACTCAATTTACAAAAGACAGTCGATCGAGAGAATTTTACTTCTTCAAGTTTTAGAATTATTAAATTTTACATTAAGTCAAAATCGGAAGTAGATCGATATTCGCTCCATGGAGATCTCGTCGTTTTAGAAAAATAATAAATGTAAGAATTTAAGCATTCGTCTATAGACGACTGCTTAAATTCTTTGTTCGCTAAATATAAAATGAACCGTTTTAAATGCTGCTACTGTATTCGCTACGGCGGTACATATACAGTACTAAAATTGACGGCCGGATGGCCGAGCGGTCGAGGTGGCAGCTACCGCTCTGGGGAATCCGGGATCGAATCCGGACGGGTCAAGAAATCTCCAGAAAATTTTCGGGGGTGGTCCGTTCGGATATGTCGGGCCCGTCCCTCACCACCCGGTCGCTCCATTGTGGGCCTGGCCGATGGCCGAATCCATAATGGGCCCGCTATAAAAGGCCCTCTTAGTGCCCGCAGGGCGGAAAGAGTTTAAAAAAAGAAAGGTCGTGGTCATGGACACCTCGATTGTTCAATTCGTTTCTTTTTTACGTACAAAATTAATACACATAGTAAAATTAAAACAAAATTATTGATATTTTTACACATACATAGAGTAAATTCATTTATTGTATATAAATTTTATAATTGTACATTGGAGTGTAAGGATGATCGGGAAGTCGAAAATGGCTCCCCCGAAATAACGGCACGCCGGATTACGCCGCCACCGTTGCATTATGTTTCCACCATCCCGGAAATCATAATTTGGCGCACAGGTGTATATTCGAGTCTAACATTTTTGGTTTTATGAATTTTTGTAGGATGCGTATTTTTTGAATTATTTCAGTAGATTAATTAAACTGGATCATCCTGTATGTGTGTAAAAATGGTATATGTAATTCATTAAGAGAACTCCGTCGACTACAATGGACTCCTAGATATAGCTTCGTAAAAACATAATTATAACGATATATACGAATATTATATGGTTTCGATAAGTCTACAGAAAAATAAATGAAATTTAATTGTTTTTAATTATTTGAAAACATTGCGAATTGGTAACCCGACAAAGCTGGCAACACTCAAGGTGAAGAGTGCGGTTGTCACGTTGTCGGTGTTTATTTGTGACATGTGTGTAATCTAAACACGTGTAATTTTTTACACAGAAATTGGGAAATGTAAGTAATGTTTTATCAGTTTTCTTGTCGAATAAGCAACTGTAGGAACATTAAATGAAAATTACGTATTTGGTAATAGAGTAACACTCAAATCAAAGTAACTGTTAGAAGTGATTGTCGACTTGGTTGAAGTTTACCTTGGTAGTTCCAATGGCCGCGCTTCGGTTAGCTTAGGTTAACTCAGAGTCGGTAGATTAACTGGTCTTTCGACTTCCTATCTTCGCTTGTTGCTAGAATCAACTAGAGACAAATGTTACCACCAGGGGCACTGCAATCACTACAAGACCGCTACATCGAATCCCTGTGAGGTCGAATGTTTTCTTTTTATTGAAAGATATATAACCTTCGAGTTCGATTTCATAATTTTT